AACGATGTGGAAAAAGGAATGGGGCTGAGAATGCCCAAAAACGAATATCAGAAAACAAGAGCAAAGCTCCCATTTCCGCATTTTCAGAATGTTCGCATGTCCTAATTCGAGACAGATGCCTGTGAAAACTATGCAACGGCTTTCTGGAACGAACGGTATAGCCTTGAGCATGAAGAAAACGAAGCGAGAATGAACGAGTGCAAAAGCAGAGGTTTTGTCGGACATGCAGAGCAGAAAAGCGCTCATTTTTCAACCCCGCTTCGAGTTCGAAGTTCTTTTGATCAAGAAGGGAAGCGGGATAGAGGAATAAGGCCAGTGAGAAGAAAATCTGGGAGAAAACGTTGAATACGGTCAAAATTCTCCAACTCCCGCCGTTCAAAACGTGAGCGGGGCGGTTGCAGCGCATGCAGCACAGTTCCGGAATGTTCCAGCACAATGCGGGAACTGTGCGGGAACAGTTCCGGAATATGGGAATTATACTTGGGTCCGAATTGAATGGAAATTCGATCATTCGAATAAAACCTTCGAATATATTCGCATTCGAAATTTGATATTTGGAATTTTTTTCAATTTCGAATAATATTCAAAACTCGAATAATCAAAAATGAAAAATCGAATAAAATTCGAAAACTCGAATAATCAAAAATAAGAATTTCGAATAGAATTTATTCTAATGTTTTATTCAAATGTTTGTTCGAATTCGTATTCGAATAAACTCCGTATTCAGATCATTCGAGCTTGTTGCAGTGCCAAACTGAGTATCAAGCTCACTTCGTCTGCTTTTTTTCCACAAAGCTCTATTGCATCTTTCTGCAATCGTGATTTTTGAACTGATGAAAAATCTCCTCCGACTGCTTGCGACAGTAAAAAAATTAGGTGTGGATTTTAATTGGTGCTTTTGCGATCAAGATAGTTCGCATTGCGATCGGCACTAAATCAACAAAAAAAACTTATCCCATAGTATTGTGAATCTTAAGGCATGCATTAATATCGCCGCTGGGAAAGGAATCGCGGCTTAGAAGAAAGCTTCATATCCTGAAACTCCAGATACCTAGAGAATCGTTGGGGTAGGCGGCCATACGATTTATAGGCAAGCGGGCACCAAAAAAGTTCGCCGATTTTTTGCAGTCCACTTGCAGGTATATGAAATAATGTTGGCTACTTTTCAGACCAACTCTGGTAAAACAATCTAACGAGCAACCGAATACTTCTTCATAGCTTACAATTAGTTGCGGCGCAGCGGCTGCATTCTCACAGAGTTTTCGCGAGAATATGCAAATTTGTTGAAGGCCGCATGGTTCTTTGTGAAGGACCGCACAGCGCGTAGGGTATCCTCCGCTGAGAAAAAGTACCCCAAACTCGGGTAATTAAAAAACGATGAGAACTCTGCTATATAAAGTGCTACATTTGCTCGGCGTACGCACGAAACTGCGTAACAAAAGTCAGAGCGCTCGCTGAAAGAAATTATTTGACGATCGCTGCAGAAAAGTCTATATTGCTGCTCGCTGGCAAAACATGCGACCGAAGAAGGAAAGTTCCGCCCACTGAAGTTTTGGCCACGCCCCAAAATTTTGCTGACTGCTTGCAGAAAAGCGCGAGTTCGCGGCCCGCCTGCCCAGGGCGATTATCTGAGTATTCGGATTTCACGCTGTTCACTTCCTTGTAAGTATCCCTACTACCCTTTACTATAAACATATTTAGCATGAGCGTGAAGCTGTGCAGACCGCATCTTCCCATTTGTACGATCCCATATTGCCGGCGGTCCACCATCTTCTTTTTCAAAGTCAATTTTTTCTCCAAACGTGCCAGAGTTTTCCATTTAGCTGATCAAACAGTGCTATGCATGTTCCCGATAAGTACAAACGATGTATTGAAGTCATGAAATTTGCATGAAAAACAAATCGAAAGTTGGGGTTTATCGAAAATTTTGACACTCAAAAACTCATTGGCTCTTATCAGAAACATGCTTGGCAGGGGAATGGTCAGAACTTCTCCCAGTCATACTAAACAAGCTGTATATCATCGGACTCGTCTTGAAACGCTCATCTGAAAGATCTGTTCAACACGTTTCAAAATACTCATTGGTTGTTGGTGGATATGCTTCTTTCTTGTAATGAGAATACCCAAAGTCACTACAAATCCGCGCCATCGGGCTGCCTTTCAACGAACTATTTGTTGAAATTCGAATATTTTTCTCGTACTTGAACGCTTATAATTCATTCCAGATAGTCGCTGGCAGAAAAAAACATATATCTAAAAACAAGGTTTAAAGGCGAGTCGATGATATATGGCTTGTTAAAACGACTGATTTAAGTTCTGATTACTTTCTCGTGAGTTAAATTCTCAGCATTTCCTCGTTAGCGCTGTTGTGTTAGATACTCAGCACAACTTTGAAAATGTTTTCGTTAACTTCGAAGGAAAAGAATGACTTTGAAAGAAAAATGTGGGCCGCCGGGGATCATCAGGGGATCGTACAAAAAGCTGGAAGATGCGGCTTGTACGGCTTTCGCTCCTGTTCAATACGCTTATAGTGAAGTGTAGTAGGGATACTTACGGAAGCTCCAGATGTCTGGAATGCAAATGCATAAGGCCCTTAGATGACAGGCATGTGGTGAAAATGTTATTGGCTCTGTTCGTTTTCCTACGCATATGTAGCAGCTCCAGTGTTTATTTCATACTTTATTATCAGCTGATTGTTGTTGGTAGGTTATTTGCAACTCCTTAAATTTACCTTACCTTGCATAATGGCTTATACAGCAATCGGAAATCGTTATTCCTGGCAAGTTCATATGCTACTTTATCCCACGTCTCCCACGTTCTAGAAGTTGAATAATCCAGGAAGTAAATGAAACTCAGCTGATAACGGCAACCCACCTATAATACACTTTGAATATGATCGTGTCTGGAATATTCCGATTACAATCTCCATAAACCCAATCTTCGATTTTCTGAACCAGCGGGTTCTGCTCTATCGGATTTGTCTTAAGGTACATCTGAAAATTGAGGGTTAAATGATTTTGCCGTTGCAAATGCGGTGTCAAAATTGATTCACAAAGCATCGAAACTTTTGAATTAGATTTTCTGACTGTTAGAGTTAGAATGCTTTGAATTTAACATGCATAAAGTCACAAAAGCATGTATAGCTAAGGAAATCGGAGACTCACTATGGGTACCTCTTGGCCAATTTTCTCATTGCAATATCTTTTAAATCCTCGTGTGAGAGCTTCAACTTCAGGATCCGTAAGTAAAGGTTTTTCACGTTCAACGAATTTCCACCAATAATAGTCACAGTAACGGGCAGAAAAGACTGGAAGCTAAATTGTTCTCATTACTGCCGGTCAAAAGCTTAAAAATTACAACTTACAATTAAGAAAAAGTATCGCAACATTTTGAATGGTGCACGGCTGTTCATATCACTATGAATACTAAACTGGGCGTCCAAAGATCAAATAAGAAATGTTGCAAACGCGCGCTCAAGGGCTGTTTGCTGCGACGATGTGTGGGTGAACTCACGCGTCATGCGTGAAAATGTATTATTACTTGTACAATAACTGGCTCGAATTCATTTAGTGGACGCAAGTGCATGCTTCATAACATTTTAATTTTGAATAACGACATTCGCCACGCTTTTTGCACGAATTGTCCACATCTACGTAAAAATAAAAAACAATTTTATAGTGCGTAGTAAAGTGTCTCATTCGATCTCAACTGGAAAAAATTTTAGTTAAGGCTTCGACAAGTCAGCTTGCTCTGAGTCGAGCCATTTATTGATGATGCCAACTACCCAAGATGATATGATTGAGAAAATTACTCCATGCAAGTATACAAGTCAAAGCGTGTCCGCCAAACATTCACATCTAACGAAGAGATGGTCGGAACTTAACCTAGCCGTCCCAAACAAGCTGTGTACCATCGGATTCGTCTTAAAATGCTGTTTTCAAATATCTGTTTTCTATCCGCCAGAAGACTGTCTGGGAGGAGTTATGAGCGTTCAAATACAAGACAACCTTCGAGTTTCCACGAATAGTTTCCCTTGGAAAACAGCCTGATGACGCGTCTTTACAGTGGTTACGATTATTTTGATTACAAGGAAGAAGTACATTTACTGTAAACCTAAGTAAGTGCTTTTGAAACCTATTTCGTGGAACATGCTCCACAGAACCCATGACTCGCACATTTCAACGCTAATGACCTGGGTTGAGCAAGAGGTGAGGCACTAGTCCTTCAAAAACGATCCCTTCCCCCGTGAAAGCCCCTAAAATGACCCCTCCGCTTCACCTCCAGGACCTTAGAAAGTGTTATGTTGAAGAAGACCAGCCTTCACTGTAGGTTTCTATTTTTTAAAAGTCTGTAGGCTCCACTTTCTGCGATTGCACAAACACACGCAACTTGACGAAAGGTTTCGGATGTGGATAGCCCTCTTTTCAAAGCTATAATTTTCACAGGGGTGGAGTGTTTGGCTTCACATTTTCAATATAGCAAGAAGAGGCTTTGCGCTTAACACTTATACTAAAAAAGGAGCGATTTTTGAATACTGAAGGCAAGTTAAGGGGGTCAGGCGCAACCCCTCAAAAGCTCAGGCGGCCTGACCTTTTGAGGGGTTGCGCCTGACCCCATTAACTTTATTTTCGAGGAAGCTTTTCTATCCAAGTTTTATGTGATTCGCTAGCACAACTCTCGAAGATTCCACAATAAGTGTTTGAGCTTGTTTCAAATTGTTTTGGCCTTGTAGTAATCCGTAGAGTTAAAGCACTTAATGTGAAGAACGCGCCGGTTGGAAATTTGGCAGCGCTTCTTACTTCACTATTTGAAAGCGATATGAAGCCTGATTTCTAGCATAGACTTGTAAGGAACGATACTTTGTTACGAGTATAAAAAAGCTGACTATTTTCACTTTTGAAGCCAAGTTAATCATGTTTGAAAATCACGCTTTCTAGACGTTGCGAAACACTAGAAAATGCGGTAGGTAATGACTTTAGAGCCCATAGAGATAATCTAACATGCTGATTACGGAAATAATACCCATTTCACACAGCAAGCCTACTTGGCGACCTCATGATATGTGAAGGTAAAAGATGAAGACTTGAATTTGGCTGAAATTTCGATCGTGGAAACAATCAGTATGCTGTTCACGACCGTCATTCCTTCAGTATTGGTGATTGCGATATCCACCGGACTAGCGCTTTCTTCACCTTCGTAGTATCACCCCAACTAAACGGATTCGGTTCTTAATTACGACCCCCCCCCCCCTCAGTCATACCCCCAGGACGACCCCCCAGATTGGGCGCGCCTGACCTCACGCTCAACCCTGCTAATGACTCCTCCCAGATAGTCGCTTGGCAGGTAATAAACATATATTTGTGATCACTGTTCCAAGACGACTCGGATAATGGCACGCTTGATATAACTGGGTTATTTCTAGCCATTCTAACCATCCCCTGCTAAGTGATTGGTATTGGCGGTGGAGATGTGGCCCACTTGTTAGATCTTGTTAAATATCGTCAGCCTGCACTGTGGCTCCTTACTCGTATTCCTTCGACATGTTGAACTGACGTGTATTGTAAGTTACTCAGGAGTAACTTACAGAGGTTTCTCTGCGTATCATTCATTCTTTGACCAAGAGACGCGAGACCGCATTGCACACATTGTCTAAACAAGCTTAATCGTGTATTTAGCAGGTTTATATACTTGTCATTTATCTCATCCAGGTTTAATCACTCTTTGGAAACAGGGAAGAACAAGCCCAAACATGTTAAGACAATGTCCGCATTGCGGTCACGCATCTCCTAGTCGTAGAATAGATGATATCATCATCCACACGCTATTCAAATCAGTTCATCGTGTGAGTCTAACTGAATGTGAATTTTAAATTAGACGACCTTGTCAGGGAGACAGACGGTCAAATGAGATTGCATTTTGCATTTTTACAGCTTGGGAAATGTCCGTCGTCACTTCACCTTAAAGAATCTCGGATGAGGACTTCAGTCCAGTTAACCTGAACTGAATTATTTTTACTACGGGCCTATATGTTTATGTCCGATTCGTCCTTTTCCTAAGACGACGTTTTGATATCTAGACCCTCTTCAAAACTTTTTCGTAAAGAGACAGGTTCTAGTATAGTTTTCAGTTATTTTCGAATTAACTCATCTTTTATATTGATTGTCGTCCAATTGTTTTTCCTTGGTGTGAGATCCTCTGCGCTGTAAATAGGAATAGACTTTTCTCAACTTGTTCATCTTTATTGTGTTCTTTTTTCCTTGTGTTGTCATTTACAATTCGCTTTATATACAGCGTGTCCCAATAGTTAGTACATAGTTTTTGACCGTTAACAACTCTCTTCCCACTAAGTATTTTCCTTAGCCTCAAGCGCCATCCAGTAGAGGAAGCTCAAACTTAGATATACAGTATGGAGGGGTGTAATCTGAATTATAGCTAATTCCTTGGTTGTTGTAATTAGTCGGTTGCGAAGCTAAATTTATCAACAATTAAAGAATGACAACATTTTTCTGGCTAATGTATGTTGAATTATTAGAAACCCTTCTCATTTTTTCTCTTGAACACAAAGTCTTGCAGAAACAGATGATTACTGACTAAAACATTTCTTCTTGTATTTTTATAAGACTCGAGACTTTTGATTGATCAAATCAAGCTCTACAAGATGGTTTTAATTAAGCATTTAAATTCAGCAAAGCTGAAGCAAGATCTTAGAATTTCAAAATGCCCAAAAAGCATCCTGCGTAGCTCTCATTAGCCCACGCATGTAATTCCTATTGAAAAATTGTCACTACAAATGCTGTACTTTTTGGAAACCCAAAAAATGGAAAAAAATTATTATGTTTTTCGCATACATTGCTGGGCAGTCCTCATCATAGGTGCGATAATGTGCGAACTTGCTCACTCCCCCCCCCCCCATTCACCCCTGAACCGGGGGAAACAGGGTGACCCCTTCACCAAAAGCCGAGAAAAAATCGACAGTGAGGTAAGGCTAAGCAAAGGAGATATTAGTACGGGAATTGTTTGTGTATCGGAAAGGAGGAAGAAGATTTTCAGGGATTCACGAACTTTTGAAAGGAAAAGTAGTAGCTTCTGTAGTTGCACAGCAACGTCAGCGAGGAATGTTCCGTGGAACAACGTTTCCCTCTGGTTTCAGGGAATAAATAATTTTATCCTTTCATGAGAGACCTAATGAAAGCCGAGAAAAAATCAACAGTGAGGTAAGGCTAAGCAAAGGAGATATTTGTACGGGAATGTTTGTATATCGGAAAAGAGGAAGAAAATTTTCAGGGATTCACGAACTTTCAAAAGGAAAAAACCTTCCTAATAAAAGGTGTGAGTAGTGATTTCTGGTTATTCACGAGTTTTAAGATAAAAAATCCGTAACTTTTGCAGACGAACAACTTCTACAAGGAACTAGTCATTTTCGGAACCGCCTCATCCTCCGCTTCTAGAGAGTATACAGCATGTCTGAGATCGGTGCAGAAAAGTGCCTGAGTGAAGGGTGTGTCTAATGATTTTAGATTTTTCGAGTTTCTGATATAGAAAAATTTATAACTTCTTTAGATGAACATCTTGTACGCCGAGATGTATTGCAGGGTCAAGCGTGTTGATGCGATCCGGGACCCTCATTTACGACCCCCCCCCCCCTTGGAGATTTTTGCACGGACAAAAAAATGACATTCTTGAATTACAAAAGATGTTTTCGACTTGAAAGCTTACTTCCTACCTCTTCCACAGTTTTTCCATCGAAAAAAATCGCTTGAGCGCCGTCCAGAACGACGTCAAAAACGTGCACGAGCACGGTTGTTTAAAAATTCGTAACTAAGGCCAGGAAAAGACTGAGAGGCTGCAAAGCACAGGTTCTGTAGTATGGTGCCCAGACTATCTATAGAAAAAGTTCCATCTTGAGGAGCAGTAAGCTCTAAAAAAATTCAGATGCGACTGTCGCAAATTTAGATGCGATCCTAAAAAGCAAAAACTGGGATTTTTGAGCTTG